TATTGTAAATTCCTCAACATCTGTGTAATTGGAATTGCTCATAACTATAATGTCCAATAATACAACTGCTTGAATCAGAGGTATGCTATTTATCTGCTGTGATAGACTTGTGAGAGCTTTCTGGGGTGATGAAATCTATTGATACATTTAAAATATAAATTAATCATGAAATTAAGTGAAATACTTTCATGCCTTACCAATGACAATATAGCTCCAAAGCTTTCACTGTTATGACAAATGGTCTCATTCCACTCTCCAGTTTCATTGCAATATCTAGTAGCTAAAACAATATTATAAAAATATATATACCAAATTCAGTAACTTACCATTAACAGTCCCTTTGTAGCAGGTTCCATTGGCAGTATATCCAGCTGCTGTTTCTGGCCATTGCTCATCAGCTGCACAGTACAGGGAAGGAGGGGAGGGAGGCAACACAGAAACACTTGGAAAAGAGATTGTGAGTATTGAAATAGAAGAATAATGAGATGAAGTTGGTGTAGTAGAAGCGCTGGGCTGGATAAAAGTTGAGGGATATTTTGAAGATGTAAGTGAACGAAAGAAAGAAAACACATCTAAAGTAGAGCTGGGGACAACTAATATAGAAGAGGTTTGAAAGCCAGTTGAGACTGAGGCATACGGACTAGTTGCAGAAGATTCAGTTTGTGAAAGGTCATTATTTGTCAAAGAAGGCACTGAGACAGAACCATCAGAATAAAATTCAGAAGTATGTAAAGTTGGTGCAACAGAAGTGCTGGGTTGTATTGAAGTTGAGGGATAGTTTGAAGAAGAGGAAAGTGAACCAAAGAAAGAAATCACATTTAAAGCAGAGCTGGGGACAAAGGCTATTATAGAAGAGGTTTGAAAGGCTGAGGGTGAGAACTGTGAGGTATTAGCACTAGATATAGTTGCAGAAGATTCAGTTTGTGATAGATCACTATTACTTGAGGAAGGGACTAAAGAGACTGAGACAGAGCCATCAGAATACAATTGAGATGCTTGTAGAGAGGAATATTGAGATAAAGTTGGTGCAATTGAAGTACTGGGTTGTATTGAAGTTGAGGGATAGTTTGAAGAAGAGGAAAGTAAACCAAAGAAAGAAAACACATCTAAAGTAGAGCTGGGGACAAGAGTTTGAGGAAGGTCATTATTTGTCGAGGAAGGTACTGAGACAGAGCCATACAGAAGGGAAGTAGTGACAAAGGACCTGGAAGGGAAAACTGAAGAAGAGGTAGTGGGTACAGATGATGGACAAAGGCTAGTATCTGGAGCAGATGTGGGGCAAGTACCAGTATCATTAAACATTAAACCTATGATTTTGAACTTCACTTGCTTAGATGAAATACGATTGTCTACTTTACTACATATCTGTGTTGCCAAATTGTGATAATTAAGCTCCACATTAGAAACTCTTACTGAACAAGTACCAATGTCAATCCAATGAAAGTTCATAAAATTTAAAGATCTGATAATAGTGTAGCAGTGCTCAGAGGAGGCATTAACTACAAAAATTTACATTCAATCTACACTGACTCTCAGAGCAGAGTATATATAACTTACCACTATATCTTTGACATGCTAATGGTATATCCTCATTTTT